AAAAAAAAAAAAAAAGAATGATGCACTTCTCCAAATAGCTTCTCCTAGCAACATGTCCAAAGTGAGATGAAGCCCTAACACCTTTGCCTTCAGGAAGCACTCTGCACTTCTGCCCATTAGTCTTTTAGCAGTCGATAGATATTCAGTGTTCTTCTCCAACACCACAGCTCAAAGGTTATCAGTTCCTCTGTCATCCTTATTGTCCTGCTCTGAGATGAATAGCAAGTGACTGAAAAGACTGTGGTCTGAATCAGTTGCACCTTAGTCCTCAAACCGACATCACTGCTTCTCAGTAATTTGGAGAGGCCCCCAATTACAGACTTTCCCACTGCAATACTTCTCCTATCTCCTGTCTGCCAATGCCTTCAATGCAGCTTGAAATTCTTCCTTCATTACCACTGGCTCTTGATCATAAGGTACTTCCTGAAATATTTCCATGTTGGCCAATTCCTTTTGGTACATTGACTCATCATCTTTTTATTATTAATTTTAATGAAAATTTAGATATTTTGGATTTCCATTCATTCATTGTTACACTTTTCTCTCTGCCTACCTCTCCCTTCCAGTTTGTTCTTCTCTTTAAAAAGTACAAGAAAAATTCTTTCATTGTCCACTCCATTATGTAGCCTTCGTTCTGGACTCATGACAATAACACCTAATCATATATACCTTTTAAAATCGTTCTCGCCCTCATCTTTTTCAATGCAGTATAAATTTATCCCATCTTTCTCAGTCTGATCCCAACCCTGATGTCAGTCCCATTTTACAACAGTCACACCATGCAATATTTGTCCTTTTGTGACTGAGATATTTCACTCAGCATTATGTCCTCCAGGGTCACCCATTTTGAATAATACTGAATAAGTTCCTTGTTTTTCAATGCAGCATAGTATTCCATTGTGGGAATATACCACAGCTTCTCTATCTATTCGTTTGTTGATGGGCACCTGGGTTGTTTCCATCTCCTTGCTATTGTGAACAGAGCTGCGATAAACATGGGTGTGCATAAATCTGCTTGGACGTCAGTTATGGTATCTTTGGGGTATATTCTGAGTAGTGGAATTGCTGGGTCAAATGGTATCTCTATTTGCAACTGTTTGAGAAAGCGCCATACTGCCTTCCACAGTGGTTGCACCATTTTACATTCCCACCAACAGTGAGTAAGGGTTCCAGTTTCTCCACAACCTCGCCAGTGTTTATTGCTTGCTGTTCTGTTAAATTTTGCTATTCTGACTGGGGAGAGATGATACCTCAGTTGTTTTGGATTCATCTTCTTTTGATGTTTCCCTGATCAAACAAGATTTTGCCCATAGCATTTCTCAGTATTCTAACTCAAAGCTAGAGGGTTTTTTCCAGTTTTTTTTTTCAGCTTGAGAAATACTGAGCCGTTTATTCCATTTGTAATCTTCAATTTCTGTTTTTAGCACATTTCATTATAATTCTTAATGCTTTGTCTTCTTGAACTGCCCTTTGAAATCTTATGTTTAGTTATCTCTTTCACTTCAGCATCTCTTCCCTTTGTTTTGTTTTAATAGAATTTGAATTAATACTGTTAGTTCTTTTGGATAATCACTCTGCTTTCTTTGATTCATGAACCACTGTTTATAGGGGTCACCACAGTTTAAAAATTCTAAGGCTGAGAGAGGAGTATGTGACAATGATCTATTCTTTCCCAGGTCATCTATTTTGGCTGAAGTCAGTGTGAAAAGAAAAGCAGATATCTCAAGTATACATGTTGTTGTTGTTAGCTGCCATCGAGTCATATATGACTCACAGCGGCCCTCTGAACGAAAGGCCTGAGCACTGAGCACTGTTCATAGTTTCCAGAGGCATGATATTTCGAAGTGGACGCCACTCCTACTTCCAAGTTTGATCTAATCGGGGAGCTCCACCAAACACTGCCCACCATGGGTAACCATTATCACATATGGCACATTAGTGTCACAATATTTGGCATCACAGCACCCATGAGTTAAATCTGTACAGCAATGCACAGACCAGTGCTATACCACCTAGAAGAATGTTTGACAAAAACCAATTTGAATCAGTATACATAGTTTGGCATAAAAAAAAATGTTGTCTAGCAGCCTATAAACCACCTAAATTATACACCCCTCCCCCACACGTGTGAGAGTGTGTGTGTCTGTGTGTGTGTATATCACTTAATGTGAATACCAAGTTTTCTATTTGCTGTGGTTAAGTTTCTCCTAACTTCAATTTTGTTCTCTACAAGGTATATTTTCAAGATCGTTCTGGTGGCCTAGTCTGTAGGGAATTGCTGTGCTCACACAAAGGCTGGAACTCCCTAGTGGTTTGAATCTACTAGTGGCTCCAGAAAACAGACGTGCAATCTTCTCTTGTGCAATTTACAGTCTTGGGAACCCAATATAGGACCAGCTATGAGTTAGTTCTGACATGAATGCAATGATTTGAGTGTAACTAGTTCTTGTACAAGTAGAGAATCAAGAGTACAGGCCCTGAAATAGTAGTTCTGGTCCTGAATTGCTCCTATATTATGCTCTATGATCTTAAGCAAGTATTTTGTGTCTCAGTTTCTTACTTATTTTCTAACCTGCTACGTTAAACATTCCTAAGTTTCAAAAATCTGTTTTTAATCATCTTAAAGAGTCTGTTTTAAACACACCTGTTTTGAAAGTACTAACATTTTCTTCTAGCAATTTCTGTTGCTTTTTGTCAGGGGCCGTGGCGAGTACATTAGCTTCAAGATCCTTAACTTGCACATTCAAATATTCTTCTTGCTCTGAGAAGCGCTACAAAAATGTTTAAAGGAGAGCAAAAAAGAAGACAAAGAAGGAAAACAGTCAACTACCATGAGAAATGCTGGGGCAAATAAAAGACAAAGATAGGCTAAACTACCACTTTTTAGTTCCTCAGATAAGTAAACTTGAAATACAATTAAAGATTACCTGGTATTTAAAGAGTAGAAGAAATAATTGTGGCTCAAACAAAACACTTTGAGGTAATTAAAAATTTACATGTGGTTGAAAATTTCTTAAACGAATAGTAATGTCACCAAAAAGCCATTTTTATTTCATATATAAAATTACATGTAAGGAGTTTGCCTGTTTGTCTCCTGCAGAGCTGCTGGTGAATTTGAACTGCCTGTCTTGGGAATGGCAGCATAACTCATTACCAGTAGGCTACTAGAGCATTTAGATACATATATACATTACTGTAATGAGGCCACTAGAGCTTTTATATGTGTGTGTACACATATGTAGGCACATATTACTGTAATGATCTCTGGTTCTAGCCTATCAACTGGTTGGCAGGAGTAGGATAAACAGTATCCTCCTGTAAAAATTTAAGTCTCAGAAACCGAATGGAAGGCTGCTGTTGAGTTGGAAATGATGTGATGACAACGGGTTTGGGGATGTACATCAGTATATGCACTGTATTAATAGCATTACCCTTCTAATAAGTTGAAGAACATATATCAGGATTGATAGTCATGATCTTTAGGTAGTTCCTGAAAACACAAAACATGGCACTTTTTCACAACCAAGAAAAGAATTCTAGCTTGAAAAGAGAATGAAGATGTGTAGAGGTAGGGGGGATTAATCATGAAGTTGTACAATCTGATGAGTGGGGAGGTGATGGAAATTGGATTCTTCTGTTCTGGAAAACAATGTATTTGAATTTTGTAAATAAACTAGTATAATTTTTTTTTTTTTTAAAAAGGGGGGTGGGGTGGTCATGTCATACAGATGTTCTCCAAGACCTTGGATGATGCTTGTAGTTAAAAATTCAACTCTCCACTGACAGTATTAGCAATGTGAATCTAAGCAAGGGCACCTTATAAGAAAGGCCCAGTCATCAACTTCCAAAAGGTCACAGACTTGACCAGTCTAGGGAGTACAGCTCTGCATATACCAGGGGCCACCAGAGTCAGAGGTGTCTGGCTAGAGATTATAGATTACATCAGCTACCAAGGAGAGACATGGGAGGAGTATCAACCAAAAGCAGGAATATCTGTGGCTAGATCACTATTATGACAGTAATCTGGGAAAGCAATCACAATGAAACAGAGCCTATCTACTTAAAGATCTATTCTTCCCTTATACATTATAATATAAAGCAACATGTTATGCCAAAACGGTGTATTTCCAACAGGCTCATGGGGTAGTCCTTTGTGTGGTGGGAAAGAATACCTGGATGCTTCCAGTAAACTTTTCTAGTGTATTCCTCATTTCTCGTTCACTGTGTCGCAACCTCACAACTGCTTCTTCAACTTGTACTTTCTGTTCTTGTATCTGCATAGCTTTTTCAGAGTCTCTCTGTAATTGTAATTCCATTTTATTTACCTATAAAGAAAAGCATTATGACATAATTTTCAAGAGACATTTCAGATTAACAAGAAAGGCAATTTAGGACTAAAGAAAATAGTATCTGAATGTGGTTTGAATCCGGAGAAAGAGGTTCTGACTTGATTGTGTACAACACTGTTCTACACTTCAGGAAGGAGTCAAAATAATTTGCAGTAGAGAATCAGATTGAAAAGACATATTAAGTGGTAAATCCATCTAGTACAATACAAATATTTAAGTGGAAGGACTAAGTATTTAAAAATATTTCAAGGCAAAACTTTGAAAAACTCACTACCTAGGGAAGGAAAAAGTATAATATGTAGTATTTGAGGTTAAAAATGCCAATAGCCATTTTCCTCCCTGAACATAGTGCAATAAAATACTTGGGAATTTCATGCTGGAAAATTAGAGGGTCAGTGAAAAAGAGGAAGCCACTCAACAAGGCAAGACTGTCATAGTGCTTGCACCAATGGACTTGAGTGTGGAAGAGCCTGGGAAGATGGCTGTACAGAGTTGTAAGGAGTCAGAAATAGCAACAGCAATATTATTTTAGAATATAAGGGTTGTTGTAGCGACAACACAGAGAGCTACATTGGCCTATTGGACAGAAAATTATGCTACCAAAACCAAGGTGGGTGATTTTAATCTATGGCTCTCAGGCCTGATTCAAACTGTTTTTCTGTCAAACATTCTTGTAGGTGGTATCACACTGGTCTGTGCATTGCTGTACAGAGGTAACTCGTGGTTGCTGTGATGCTGGATACTTTAACACTGATGTGCCAAATGTGATAATGGTTACCCATGGTGGAGTGTTTGGTGGAGCTCCCTGATTAGAACAAGCTTGGAAATAGGAGTGACATCCACTTCCAAAATGGCCTGCCTCTGGAAACTCGATGAACAGTGCTCAGGCCTTTCGTTTATAGGGCCACTGAGTTGTCTACGACTTGATGTCACTTAATAACAACAACAAGGGTTGTTATACACACACCCCCCCCACAATCTTTCATAGATAGTTGCAATGTTGTTATGCTTAAATGGATTAATTTTGTTAACTAGATATCACAAAAGCTTTTAGAAGTTCAAGTTTTAAATATATGCTGACCTCTCCTTCAGAGATTTCAACCACAACTGATGAACCCATTCTTCCTTTCATTACTTTGCTTCCACCACCAGTCATTGTACCTGGAGGACAGATATAATGTGAGCTACCGACATTTCATGTCACAACATTCATGAAGCACAATGACAGGAAAATCACCACTATTACCTGACTGTTCTATGATCTGTCCCTGTAAAGTCACCACTCTCCATCTTCTATCTTTTTGATATGCTACTCTTGTGGCTTGATCCAAGTTGTTAGCTACTAAGGTATCCCGTAAAGCAAAGTAAAAAGCTTGGCGAATTTTCTCATCCTTCACCTTTACTAAGTCAAATAACCGAGGAGTATTTTCAGGAGTTTGAATTTTGGTCATTTTTTTCTCCCATACAGCCATCTAAAATAAAGAACATATTTTTTTTTCTCCCTAGGTATATACTTAACAAACATAAATGTAAGAAGATACTATTTGCAGATGACAAGCTCTTGTATATATATACAAAGTCACAAAGAACCAAAAACTGTTAAAAGTAGTAAATTCAAGGTTGCAAGACAAAACCTTAATCTAGAATCCCTAAAATCTTAATCCCCACACCAAAATTTACCATTTAAAAAACGCAATCAAGACCACTGATTCAAAACATACATTTAATAATTAAAAAATAGCATAATATTTATATTTGGAAAGCTAAAAAACATTTAAAGGAATTAAAGAGCTAAATATAAAAGCAATACCATGTTCATGATTGGAAATCTTAATAATTTAAGATAGCAATAGTCTATAAAGAGATTTTTTAGATAGCCAATGACATTTTCACTGAAATCTCATTTGCTTTTTTTAGGGACAGAAATTTAAATAAAGGTTGTAAAATTACCCAATAACCTTGGGACTCAAATTAGTAAAAAACAATCTTTGAAACAAAGAATAAAATTAGAATTCATTTCTCAATTTCAACACTTATTTTAAAGCTTTAGTTAACAAGCTTGGTGGCAATATCATAAAATTAGATAGGCACATGAAAGGAATATGAATGCGCCCAGAAATAATCCAAGACATTTATGATTAATTGATTTTTATCAAGAGTGATATACTAGACAATTCAATGTGAAAAGCATAGTATTTAAAACTCAAACTCATTGCTGTCATATTAAAACCGGCTCCTAGCTCACTCTCTCCAGTGGGTTTTCAGAGGCTGTTCATCATTATGGAGGAGACTGCCCAGCTTTCTCTCATGGACAACTGGTGAATTCATGCCTAATAGACAATGGCCATTAAAAAAAGGAAAAAAAGAAAAAAGAAAAGAAAAAAAAAAAAAAAGAAAAGGTCCCTCAATGAGATGGGACTGACACAATGGTTTTCATACTGGACTCAAACATAGCAGTAACTGTGGGACAATGCAGAAGCAAATAATATTTTGTTCTGATGTGTACTGTACATTACTACGAGGAAGACCCAATTTGACGGCACCTGACAAACAGCTATCATGAAATTAAGTTACTGATAGACATCAAAACTACAAATAATCATTCTCATTCTGGAGAGACCCTGCATGTTGCTTTTCTCCCATAACTGAATAACCAAAAACTAGAACTCCAATGAAGTTACAGTTTATAATGAATACACACCTTATCTAAACCTATAAAAGTTGCAACACCAATATTTTGTCTTTTAAGGAAGTTTACACATTCTTGGGCTGTATCAATAGAATCAACAACAATATAGTCTAATGCATGACAGCAAGACGAAATAGCAACATCATATTTTTCATCAATAGCTCCCAAGTCACCCTAAGAATTAAAAGGGGGGGGGAGAAAAAAAAAATAAAAATTACCACAAAATAAGGCAAAACACACAACTATCCAGATTTTCTAAAATATTTTTTTAAGAAACTATACATACTTTATAGAAGTACAAAAAAGAGACACAAATGAAAATTTAAATTTCTTTCTCCCATGTTGAGTTTAAATTGTTAATGAGGAAAAAAAATTCTTCAGTTTCTTCTTCATAATGAAACATTATGTGAAAATCTGAAACCTAAAAGGATTGTAAAATAAGCTAAAAAAATTGTGCAAGTTTGATTTACTGAAAATTATCTTATATAAGGTATGTCTTGATGCATATTTGCTTGATCATCAGTCTATTAAATTAGTATTTACTGTTTGGCTTTAATTTTTTTGAAAGCAAAAGAACAGGATATTTTATACCCTAAAAAAAAAAAATTCGGAAGTCACTTAATGTATATACAAACCTAGAATTGACTGAGTGACTATTTTTCATTTACCTTTACTCCAAGTAAGCTGACTCATAGGGAGTGTAGCAAAGAAAGCTCATGGTTCTCAAACTTTAGACATCGGTGAGGCACTAGCTGGAGGACTAGAAACAAAGGCATTCAAAATATTTCCCTGGTTTCCTTCTGGTCACTCTCTAGTTACAGCACCATTCCTGCTTCAGGCTTAAAGCAGTAGTGTAGTGGTCTCATCATCACTAGCCTGTTGTTGAATAATGGTAGGGAACTGCACTGACACTCATATACAGCAACGATCTACTGGTGTTTCCAAGTCACTGTTACAGAAGCAGATGGTCTGACTTTTCTTCTGTTGAAGTCAGGTGGTGAGCTACTTGGTAGGAGCTGGACACCAACCAAAATGCTTCTGGGGCCCAGTAATTGCTAGCCTAGTGTTTCTGTATTTCTCTTTGTTGATTTCCTTATAAACCTTGCTTATGCCTTTTGTAATGGTACAAAATTAATTTTTTAAGACTTATGATGTTTTGCAAGTTAAATGTATTTTACAGACAGCTCAAAGATTCCAAAAAAAAAAAAGTTTTACCAATCGTCCATATATTCCTGAAATCCTGCCAGATTTTTTTTCTTGAATTATTGCATCAAGGACTTTCCCCCTACTTCGATTTGTGGCTAAAGAACTCTTTGCTTCTTCAACTTTTTGGAAAAGTTCATGAACCAAACTTTTGAAGTGTAGTTCTTCTTGTGTAAGTTTCTGAAGTTCTCTTTCTTTCTAGATGTGGGAGGGGGAAAAAAAATTCTATAAGCATTGTATCTTAAATATGCCTAATTATAACAATGACATGAAATGCCTCAATAACAAAACCAGCAATAAATACTTGAATTGTTATTCAGCTACCCTACTATAAACTGCTAGTTTAACCCTGAAAGATGTGCACTGATGTGCTCAATTGCTTTTCAAAAAGGCATAATTTGTGACTTCATCCATAGCCACTGGTGAGAGTCAGCAACCAGAACCATCAGGGGGGCTTTAAGCTCGTTGCCCACTGCTGTGGTGTGGACAGCTGAAACCCAGGCCCCGACAGGCACCTGGGGGGGGGGGGGGACCCAGACTCTACTTCATGCTCTGCTGGAGGGGCAGTCTCCTGTACCAGTCAGATCCAATTTGATGGCACACGCACGCACACACACACTTTTTCTTCTTCTTTTTTTTTAAAAAAAAAGACTACTTCAGCCATTGCGGCCCTCTGCCCGGGGCGAGCCGTCATGGCCTTATGCCTCGGGTGGGCTGCACTTGGCCCCCGGCTCGGTGCGAACCATCGCGGCCCTCAGGAGCAAGAAGGCAAGCAGCTGTAACCCAAGACCACCAGTAAGGTGATAAAGCGTCCTCCCTTCCCCCCTTTATATCTACGCCCCTGTTCAGCATGAAGAAGCCAGAGAGTCGGCATCTAATTCCCAAATCAATAAAACAGTTGGTTTAATTACTATTGGAAAATGCTTGTCATTCCTCTGTAGCATCTGGTCCCCACTGGACCCTCATCATTTCCTTCACCTGCTCCCCCCACCGACCAAACTGTGAAGCTCTGCAACTGCATCCTGGCCCATCCTCACCCTTCTGCCCCCCAACCCTCACCTCCTTGTACCCCCAATATGTTTTTCCCAATAAAAAAAAATATTTTTTTTAAAAAGGCGCAATTTGGTCAACAGTAATTAATAATAACAAATGTTATATAATGACAATGGCAGTCCATTTTCATACAAAAATTAGTGGGAAGGAAAATGGGAGTCAACATGGGGGAAATCATTCCAAAGCTTACAAGAAGAAAAGCTTATTTTTCCAATTCAGCAGTAACTACTTTTTTCAGTTGGCATTCTCTTAACTCTTGGCTTTCAATCAGTAGAAAGTCATCAAAAAACAAAGAGAATAGCCAAGACAATAGAAGTATTCAATGGCTGTTACTTAAGCTTACATTTACATCTTACAGGCATTTGACATTTCTAGGTTGGTATACATTTATTAAAAGGAAAGATTTTTATTCTCAGCATAGGTTCTTTACACAAGCTATTTTATTTCTTCTTGACCAAAACACTTTGGAGGATATTTCAGTTTATGAAATTCCTCTGCTATTCAAGGAAGGGGTGACTGAGACTGAGGAGTAAAGCTGGCTCTTGATTAATTTTTAACATTACTGGTATCTAAATAAAGAAACGACATTCAACTATGCCTGCATACTCACTTGCTTTGTACCTTCTATAAATGTCCTATCCTTAGAGATTAAACTTTCACTGTCATGAGGTGGGGTGCAGTGGCACTGTGTGTAACACCCCTGGGGAGTTTTCTGATCATCTCAATTCATGTCAGATGTAATACTGTAATGTTAATCATATTCTTTTGGAAAGATCAGAATGAATGGAAAAGGAATCTATCAGTAGCTTTAGATACTGAGATAAAAAAAAAATAAATTCCAAACAAACATGTGCATATAAACTAGAAATTATTAACATAAGCATTCAAGTTGACACTAAGAAATATTTACCTCTTTTAATTCTTGTTCGATTTGAGGGAGTTTTGCTTCTATTTCTCTAATTGCAGCTTTCCGTTCTTTGAGAGTCTCAGAAGCGGCAATTAGGGCATCCTTAGCTTGACTCAACTGAGACACTGCAGTATTATGACGGCTGAGATAGATGTCAACTTCTGATTGGGCTACATCCATCTTTGACCGTGCTTCATTTACTAACTTACTGAAACCCATAAGTTCTTTCTCAAGACTCTGTTAAAAGATAAATTCCATTAATCTCACAGATTTCAGTATTACAAGTAGCAAAAAAATTATCTCTTTATTTTACAATGAATTACTGGTGGCATAGTCCACGGGGAGTTTGTGCTGTTGACCCAAACATAGTGTCTGCCAGTTCACATCTACCAGGGCCTCTGTGGGATAAAGATGAGCAATCTCTTTCCATGTGATTTATAGCCTTGGAAATCCCACTGGAGGGTCAGGTATGAGTTTGCTCTAACTGGACAGCAGCGAGTTTCAATTTATAAGAGTGGAATTAGAATGAAGGTGCTTTGGTAGCACAATAATTAAGCAGCTGGCTGCTAAGGTAAAGATTTGATTTGCTCCGGGTAGATGTAGCAATCGTATTCCATATCAAATTACTAGCCTAGAAACATTATAGGGCAGTTAATTATTTCTAAAATAAATTTTTTATTTTATGGTAGTCTGCTTACAAAATTTGTATATTATTTTTTATACCAGATCTTTCCCATTACCCACCCCTCCCTCAACCCATCAAACTGTGCGACCCTGTGATTATCCCTGTGTCCATCCTCATACCTGTTTTACTATAGATTTCTACAATAAGGGTCTTATACAGTATTTGTCCTTATAGGACTGAGTTAGTTCACTTAGCATAAAGCACTCCAGCCCCTCCTAAGTTATGTCGTAATTTTCAAAATCATTGCTCCGGCAAGCTGCATGGTATTCCACTGTGTGAATATACCATAATTTCTTAATCCATTCAATTGTGGTTGGATATCAGGGGTGTTTTCATATTCTTATGACAGTGAATAATGCTGCTATGAACACTGGTGTACAAATCTGTTTGCATCTCATTTCTAATATTCTCGCAGTACATTCTAAGTCATCTGGAATGTCTATATTCAGCTCTTGGAGATGCCAACCTGCCTTCCAGAGTGGTTATACCATGTTAAAATTCCCAACAGTGTCTAAGAGTTTTTCCGATCTCTCCACATCTTCATCATTTTTAACTTGCTGTCCTGTTAAAACTTTGCCAATGCTACTGGGGTAAGATGCTATCTCATTGTAGCTTTGATTTAAATGCACTACTGAAGAGAAGAGTAGCAGACTAGATAAAAACCCCAAATCCATCAATACGCTATCTACAAGAAACACACTTCTGGGAGTGGCAAGATGCTACACTGCAATCCCATAGGCATGTAGTTCAAATCAACCTGATGCTCTGCTGGAGAAGGAGGGAACAATCTCCTCTTGTACTAGTCAGATTAAATTTGACAGTATACATACAAAACTGAAATAAATAAAAAAGGATTTTTTTTAAAAAGAAAAGAAAAAGACACACCTGAAAAAGGAAGATTAAAAAAAGACTAAAAAGGGTGGGGATGGAGTGGGTGGTGGGGGAATGGTGGGAAGGAGAATATACTAAGCAAATGGCAACCAGAAAAAAGCAGGAGTGGCACTATTAATTTCCAACAAAACAGATTTCAATGCAAAAACCATCATAAAGGACAAGGAAGGTCACTACATAAGGATTAAGGGGTCAACAGAACAACAAGATATAAAAATAAATAAAACTAAGACATTTAAAAAACGGCAAAAAGGAAATAAGACAGCACTACTATAGTAGCTGGAGACTTCAATACACTACAATCAAGAAAAGACAGAACTTCCAGAAAGAAACTCCACAAAGATGCTGAGGAATTAAACTACAAAATAAACCAACTTGATCTAATATTTAAGATTAATGCACCCAAAAGTAGCACGGTATACCTTCTTCTCCAATGTACATAGAACGTTTTCCAGAACACAGTTTAGGACACAAGGCAAGCATCAATAAATTCAAAAGTATAGAAATAATACAAAACATCTTCTCAGACCACAATGCTAAAAATTTAGAAATTAATAACAAGAGGATAAAGGAGAAAAAAAACCCCCATTCATTTGGAAGTTAACAAATCCTTGCTTGAACATGACCGGATACTAGAAGACATGTTGTTATGTGCCATCGAGTCGCTTGTGACTCATAGCGACCCTATGTACAACAACCCTAAACTCTGCTCTATCCTGTGCCAATCGCACTGTCTCTGACACTCCCATCCCGACTACCCCAGTCACTGACTCAATCCACCTCATAGAGGGCCTTCCTCTCCTGTACTGTACTTCCTCCCTCCCAAGCATGTCCCTCCTCAAGTACCAGTTCCTCCTTACAACATATCCAAAGTATGTTAGATGGAACCTCAGAATCCTCGCCTCCAGGGACTTCCCGGTTTAACCCTTTCCAGGATGAATCTGTTTGTTTTCCTAGCAGTCCATGGTACCTTCAATACTCTTCTCTAGCACCACAGCTCAAAGGCATCAATTCTCCTTCTATCCTCCTTAGTCACTGTCCAACTCTCGGATGCATAACAAATGATAGCAAAGACCATGGCCTGTATCAGACACACCTTAGTCTCCAGAGAGACACCATTGCTCTTCAGTACTTTGGAGAGGTCCCTAACAACAGACTTTCCCATCACAATACGTCTTTTAATTTCCTGGCTACTGGTGCGAAGAGTGCTGACTGTGGAGGCAAGCAAACTAAAGCTGTGAACAATCTCAAGTCTCTTCACCACCCATCCGGATGCTGCCAATTGGCCCAGTGGTGAGAATCTTTGTCTTCTTGACATTGAGCCTCAATCTATATTGGAGGCTGCAGTCCTTGACCCTCTGCAGCAAGAGCTTCAGGTCCTCCTCACTTTCAGCAAGAAGGGTTGTGTTATCTGCATAACACAGATTGTTGATAGATCTTCTGGCAATCCTGATGTCACATTTCTTCTCATAGAGCACAGCCTCGCAGATGAACTGTTCTACATACAGATTGAAAAGGTAGGGAGATAGGACACATCCCTGGCATACACCATTCCCAATTTTGAACCATGCAGTGTTTCCTTGCTCTGTTCTGATGACTGCCTCCTAGTCCAAATATAGGTGTCTCACTAGCACGATCAAGAGTAGTGTTCTGGGATTTCCATTCTTCTCAGAGTCAGCCACAGTTTATGATCCACAGTCAAATGCCTTTGCACAGTCAATGAAACACAGACAGACATTCCTCTGATATTCCCTGCTTTCAAGTGAAGATCCATCTAACATTAGCTACAATATCTCTAGTATCATGAGCCCTTCTAAACCCAGCCTGGATTTCTGGCAGTTCTCTGCTGATGTGCTGTTCCAGTCGTTTTCAGAATCTTGCTTGCATGTGAAATCAATGACATGTTCTATAGTTTCCACAGTCTGTTGGGTCACCCTTCTTTGGAATGGGAACAAATACAGGTATCTTCCAGTCAGCTGGCCAAGTGGTTGTTCTCCAGATTTCTTGGCACAACTTGGTGAGCACATCCAGGACAGCATCTGTTAGCTGAAATATGTCAATTGGTATACCATCCATTCCTGGGGCCTTATTTTTTGCTATTTCCTTCAAAGCAGCTTGAACTTCTTCCTTCATCACCATAGGCTCTTGCTCATATGTTGTTTCATTAATACAGATGCAAAAATCCTCAAAAAAAGTCCTGGTCAATAGAGTCCAATGATACATTAAAAAATAAAATAAAATTCACCAAGACCAAGTGAAGATTCCTACAGGTATGCAAGGATGGTTCAACAAAAATAAAATCAGTGTAACTCATCACATTAACAAAGCAAAGCAAAGAACCAGATGATCCGGTCAATTGATGCAGAAAAGGCCTTTGACAAAACACAACACCCTTTCCTGATTAAAACTCTGAACAAATAGGAATAGAAAAGAATTTCCTTAACACAGTAAACAAGGATATATGTAAATCCAAGAAATAACACTGTTCTTAATGGAGAAAAGTTAAAGGCATTCCCATTGAGAACAGGAAATAGGCAAGAATACCCACTATCACCTCTCCTATTCAATATTGTATTGGACGTCTTAGCAGTAGCAAGAAGAGAAGGAAATAAGAGGTATTCAAATTGGCAAAGAGGAGGAAAAATTATCTCTATATGCAGCTGATATGATACTATCCTTTGAGAACCTTAAAGACTCAGCAAGAAAACTCTGGACATAGTTGACCTCTGGACATAGTCAGCAAAGTGGCAGGACAAAAGATCAACATACAAAAATCAACTGGATTTTTCTACAGTGACAAAGAGAATACACTGCAGGAGCTAAGAAAAACAATACCCTTCACAATAGCTAATCACAAGATTAAATACTGGGGAGTAAATATAACTAGAAACACACAAGACTTATTCAAAGAAAATTACAAAATATTAAAAGAAACAAAAAGAGACCAGGAAAAATTAAGAGTATACCTTGCTCATAGATAGGAAGACTCACTACTGTGAAAATGACAATCCTACCAAAGGCAATCTACAAGTTCAATGCAATCCCAATACAAATACCAATTCCATTCTTCAGCAAGATGGAAACGGTAATTTGTAATTTCATTTGGAATGGGAAGAAGCATCTCCCTCTCTGATATTAAATCCTACTACACTGCCGTGGTGGTCAAGACAGCGTGGTACTGATACAATGACAGACACAGGGATCAACGGAATAGAATTGAGAACCCAGAAATCAGCCCATCTACCTATGTTCAACTGATTTTTGACAAGGAGATGAAATCAGTTAAGTGGGGAAATCCACACCTCACTCCATACACAAAAAACAACTCAAAGTGGATCATGGACCTAGGACTCAAACCAAGGACTATAAACTTCATTAGAGAAAAGCTTGAGAGAACCCTAGAAGCCCTAATCCACAACATCAATAGTCTTCCACGCATCCTGAAAAATCTACAACCAGGAAAGAACAAAAGAGATGAATGGGACCTTCTAAGAATCAAATCTCTATGCACATCCAAAAAGTTCTCCAGTGGGGTAAAAAGGAAAACCAAAGGCTGGGGGGACTTATATCTAGATAAGGACTTACATCTAGAATTTATAAAATACTCAAGCTCCACAACAAGATAAACACACAATTGAAAAATGGGCACTAGATTATGAAC